AAAATACAAAAGTTGAGTGTTGTTTTAAGTTTTTTAAGAAATGGGTCGGCCTTTGAGTGAGAGCCTGACATGGAGTTTTAATGCCTGTCTCAATTTACCATTTCATGAAATTGATGATTAATCTCAACGTTAATTTTTATTTTATTACTATTTTAATGCTTATAGGCCACAAGGAATCTGTGGCTTACAATTTTAACTTGTTCTAATAAAATGTATATAAAGGTTGGATGAAAAGTTTTCTCATGTCTAACTTTAAACTAATTGTGGTTCGGGAATACTTTAACATAACTTATAAATTTTTCTATTGAAGAACGAAGTTATAAATGTTTTTGGTTATTTGAAAGTGCTTTTATATTTTCTCGTCAAACCAAATATATATTCAATTTTTTATCAAATATATAAGCGATATTGGAAGAGGGGATCTATATTCAATTTCTAATGCAGCTTTTTGGAGTATAATTTTAGGGTAATGATTTCCCCACTCCAATTTTATCCACTTACACTCCTTTTTTAAGTCATAAAATAGAGTGTAAGTGGATAAAATTGGAGTGGATAAATCATCACTATTTTTATTCGTTTTGGAAAACAATTGTAACCTAAAAGCCAAAGAGTGAAGAAGACATAACCAAGCAAGTAGTTGAGGTGCCTAAAAAACTGTAACACAGATGAATAGTGGAAAATTTGAGAAAAGAAAAAAAAAACTTAAAAACAGATGGCGTCGCCCGGACTCGAACCGGAGACCTTCAGTGTGTTAGACTGACGTGATAACCAACTACACCACGACACCTGGACGCCCTGACTGTGCGTTTTAATTAATAAACTATTTAATTTTAAACACCCCGAATATAAACCGCACAGCCTCCAAACACTGTTTTCTCTCTCTTACTTCTCTCTCATCGCCTTTGGTCTCTCTCTCACTCGCGTACCCTACCCTTTGAAACTTCTAAACTTTCAACATTTCTATCCACCTCCGCTTGAAAACCCTAACCCTCTTTCTCTCTCCTAGGGTTTCGTTTCTCTCTCTAGTCAAACAAGATGCAGGACCCTCTAAACATGTCCCTCGACGACCTCATCAAGACCAGCAAGAAATCCGGATCGGGCAACGCTCGAGGCCGTGGCCGGGCCTCAGGACCCGGACCCGCCCGCCGGTTGCCCAATCGCGCCGCCAATCGCACGACGCCGTATGCGGCGGCCAAGGTAGAAGCAAATCTCTCTGGCTTTGGCTCTGATCTATCTTCTCAAGTTGAAGTTGAATTAAACTAATAATAAATTTTGGGGATTTAGGCGCCGGAGACCGCGTGGCAACACGACCTGTATGCGGATCAGGGGGCGGCGGCGTTCCCGGCTCAAGCTGGAAGAGCCTCGGCCATTGAAACTGGAACCAAGCTCTACATCTCCAATCTCGATTATGGCGTTTCCAACGAGGACATTAAGGTAATTTTCTCTTTTCTATATTGAAATAACTTAAAGCTTTGTACTTTTTAAGCTTCTGTAATTTAGCTATCTCACAATTCTAATTTATAGCTGGATCTGTTTTCTAACAAGGTGATTTCTTTCGATGATTTGTGATTTAGCATAATTGGGTTTCCTTTTTTCGTAGACTGTGGATTGCTTTTGAAACTAAGGGTTTGGATTTGGATTCTTGTTCTAAATTTTTCATCAGACTTTATAAACATTAAATCTTTTATGCTAACCAAATCAAATACTTGCAACAATCTTGAAACTCCCTTTTTATGCCTTCGTTCAACATTTGAGGCAAACAATTTGAACTAAGAAGTCAAACCCAAATCTTTCCTTTGAATACATGTATCCAAAGTGATTTTTTTTTTTTCACTATTACATTAGTTCCTTTTTGTTCTGTTGTATTGAGATGTTTTTATTTAATCTTATATTGTAATTTGATTGGGTTTTTGTTTACAAATTTAATTGATTCAATTGGAGTATGAGTAATTTTTTTTTATTGGCCCTGGACTTTTTGGGAAATATGAGCAGTTCAGAAATATTGCATTTTACAATTTTGAATTTTCTAAAGTCAACTCACTATGTGCAGGAACTGTTTTCAGAGGTTGGTGACCTGAAGCGATATGGAGTACATTATGACCGAAGTGGGAGATCGAAGGTATCTTGTCAAGTTTCGCATAAATTGGTCCTTCTGGAGAATTCTTTGTGTTCTGCTGTAGTTTAGAAAAAAAATTATTTTTCTTAGGGAACGGCAGAAGTAGTCTTCTCACGACGACCAGATGCTGTTGCCGCGGTTAAAAGATACAACAATGTTCAGCTTGATGGGAAACCAATGAAGATAGAGATTGTAGGAACGAACATTTCGACACCTGGCGGACCTCCTACTTTGCCCCCTGCTGCTAATGGCAACTTTGGAAATTCGAATGGAGTTCCTAGGGGGTATGTCTTTGTATTCTACTTTTTGGTTTAGAATTTTCTTTCCATGGTCTGTGTGCTTATCCATGTTTCCCTTTCTTCTGAATTTCTATGAGTTATGTGTTTTTTATGCGGAATGCTGTGACAATGTCACAAGTCTTCTGTGTCTGCAAATCATTATGTGGACTACTTTACTATGTTTTCTAGAGCGTGAAATAATGTCTCTAGAAGAATTCATATATATATATATATATATATATATATACACACACACATATATTTATATAATGATATCGTGGATGGTAGTTGTCAAATAACCTGTGATCTGACAAGGAATTTTCTGTTAAATGCCTGACTGGATTAAGGGGTTCTTTAAATTTTGATTGCTACGAGAAGCTCTTGTATCCAGAGATGAATGCCTCTGATTTGAGGCATTATATCTTTGGTTTTTACAATGACAAGTCCTGTTTCTGATCTTAAGATTCCGTAACAGCTTACTTTCTACATCTTGGCTTCAACAATGGTTTTTTTCCTTTGGTAATAACTAATCTTTCTAGCCAAGAATTGACAGGGATACGAGAGTACTAAGGCCCAAGCATTGATTTGGCATATGCTGGATGATGTTGGGCCTATTGGGACCTTGCATGATTGGGTTGGGTCTATTAGGAGCTATTTTATGGTCTATACTGAAGCAACCTTAGAGTTTCTATGCTTTTATTGTAATGGGAAAACCTAGACTCACAGTCTTGATTATATTTTCGCTTGTAGTCTCTTATTATAGTGGATGAAGCTAGAATCAATAAGATTTTAATATTATTATTATCGAGGGGGCTGAAAGTCATGGAAGGTTGTCTGTGCTCTTTACATAACTCTATGCTGGCTTACATTTACTTGTTGATACTTGTACATGTATGAGGCTGAAACTGGTGTTGCTTCATAACTCAGTTACTGCTGCAAACATAGCTGATGTTTTGTTGTGCCTCATACATGTGTATGAGGCATGAGATGTAGCAGTCAGGAAGACTGAACCTGTATTGTTGTTGGATGTGGCATACTCATTATCTAATCTGTGCTACATATTAATTAATCAGAGTCCTAAATTTTGTATTTTTTGTGGTTGTTAAGCAGTGGACAGAGTAGGGGTGGTGCATTTGGACGTATACGTGGCGGGGGTGGCCGTGGTCCTAGAAGGGGGGGCCGTGGACGTGGAAGTGGTAATGGAGGTGGAAGAGGCCGTGGTGGTGAAAAGGTATCTGCTGAAGATCTTGATGCCGAGCTGGAGAAGTACCATGCAGAAGCAATGCAAGAGTAAAACGCAAGCAGTTGTGTTTTAGTGTTGGCTTTATTACATCTTCTGTGGCCCATTAGGGGGCTTGGTGATTTGACAACCTCATCTATTTTGTGTATTTCTATCGAAGTCCTACTTTCTAGAGAGAGAAATTAAGCGTAGAAAGAACTTATAGAATCTTGCTTATGGAGTTTGGGATCTTATTATGTTTATTTGAACATGGGTATGAAATATGTGGGTTAATGGACAGTTTCAGTGCTTTAACTGAACTCCCACTTTTGGACCGTTAGCTTCTTCAATCCCTTTTTATACATTCAACAAGTTGGGGTATGGAATTGGGAAGCTTATCTCTCTGTTTCTCCACACGCAAAGACAAAACTGGCTGCAAGGTGTGAAAGGATTGAGCCTTAAAGAAATCCCACACTGCTGCATTGTGTTTGGTTCTACTGCATGTAAAGTGGCGTACTTCACATGAGGTAGATATCTCTGTTTTCCTTGGCATTGAAGTCTTGTTAACTATTTAAGTTTTGTCCTTTGTGTTTGGTGCAGTTGATTTAGCTGGTTAGATTTCCGGCTATTTTATGGTAGCTTTCTCTAATATCCTGCCCCAGAAAATGATAGTTTCCATGTTTATTTGGCATCGATCCTGACATTATGTGTTTAGAGAAATTGTGTGGACTAAACAACCGACCGGTTCTACATGTAGAATTGGGTAACAGGAGTCACAATGATGATGTTCAGAGATACGCGTTGCCTTCGGGCTTCATAGTCCTGGGGGGAGTTCCAGATATGCCTGCTTTTTGACAGTCTATTCGCTAAAGACAGCGGGGTGACTGTTAAATACTGAATGTATTTTTAGGTAAGAGTGAGTGAGTTGCTGTTTGATTGTGAATTTCCCCTCTGTTGGCTAGATTGCAATGGTATGAGTGGTTGAATTCTTCTCAAGCACTTTTTCGTTGATCATTGGAGCATGAATCAGGTTCTATCTTTGCATGGTTGGAGTTCATATCCAATATAGAATACCATTGATTTTCTCCCATCCTAGCGACTGGAATAACCGTGTGGGTTTTGAAATTAGAATTCTTAAATTTTGCTTTGATTTGTTTTTGTAAAGTTAATTGAAATTCTAACAGTAGCTTGACACGCATATCATGTGATAATTTTGACCAGGGAATTATAGATATTCAACCAGAATTGCTTGCTTTTGCTGTTTGATTCGTTTCGATCTCGATAATCGACTGAAAATGGTTTCCTACGAAAGTGAGTGGAAGAGAAGCGCAGATAAAGAAGAATCTACTATTTTTTTTATTTTATTTTTTTTAAAGCACAATTTATCCGCGATTTTAAATTTAACGCGAAGGGTGGGATTGTTTTGTTCTCACTTTTGAGGAACTTTTTTCTTTTTGGTGTTTCATGGGAGGCCAATGCCCTTAAGACAGAAGCTTGCTATTACTAGCCTTGCACTTTTTTACCCCAAAAAACTAGTCTTGTACTCTTGGTCTATCAAAGAGCTCTTATCTTTTTGGAGACTTGATGGATAGAGGTTCTTCTTTATTTTGTTAGAAAAAAGGGCAAAAAAGGCGTACAGCCGCACGGCTATACTCCATGTGTTAATTTTTTTTAAAAAGACATGTGTTGTCACGTGCCGCCTTATGGTTGGGGGTCCTCTTTTTTATATTAAAAACTAGTATAGCCGAATGGCTATACTCAGTTTTTATTAAACAACGTATAGCCGACCGGCCATACTATTTTCACACAGTGGGATGCTCTGTTTTTTCTTTAGAAGATCGTATAGCCGTACGGCTATACGTGATTTTTTTCTTTTTTAAAAAATAAAATAAAATAGAATAGCAGGGAAGCGTTATTGGTTTTTTATTTATTTATAAATTATCTTTAATAAATAGTATAGGCGAGCGGCTATAGTCTTTTCAATATGTATGTATATATATGTTGGTACGTATTTTTAACAATACATTCGTGTTCTATACACGTCTCACGTTTTCTTTAAAAAGAAAACATACAATAGTCATATTGTACATGTACGTACGTATTTCTAATGTTTTATACAAATATTTTGTACAAAAGTTTTAGTAAGACACACAAAATTCACGTATTATACAAATAATTCTCACATATTATTGAATAAGAATAACATATGTTACAAAAATTATATTAAAATATCATATAGTGGAAGATTAATTTCTACTTTGGATATGATGCAAATTAATATCTATAAGGTACAAACAAATGCAACTAGAAGGGTCCTTTTTTATTATTAATTTTTTTTAATTAAATAGTAAACCCATGCGGCTATACCAAGATATTTTTATTAAAAACGGTATACCCGGGCGGCTATACAAGTTTTTGACATGTGGTTTTAATAGATAAAGGTTCTTCTTTATTTTATTAAAAAAAACGGAGTCTAGCCGCACCGATATACACCATGTGTTAATTTTTTTTAACAGACGTTGACACGTGGCACGTAATGGTTGGGGGTCTTTTTTTTATATTAAAAACCGTATAGCCGTGCGGCTATAGTCAGTTTTTAAATTTTTAAAAAACAGTATAGCCGTTCGGCTATACGATTTTCACACAGTGGGCTCCTCTGTTTTTTCTTTAGAAAACTTGATTCTTTTCTAATTTTTTTTTTGAAAAATAGAATAGCAAGGAAGCGTTATTGGTTTTTTTTTATATATAGAAATTGTCTTCAATAAATAGTATAGAAGAGCAGTTATAGTCTTTTCAATATATATGTATATGTATGTTGGTACATATTTTTCAACAATACATTCGTATTCTATACACGTCTCACGTTTTCTTTAAAAAGAAAATATACAATAGTCGTATTGTACATGTACATATGTATTTCTAATATTTTATACAAGTAATTTGTATAAAATTTTCAGTAAGACACACAAAATTCACGTATTATACAAATAATTCTCACATATTATTGAATAAGAATATAATATGTTATAAAAATTATATTAAAATATCATATAGTGGAAGATTAATATTTACTTTGGATATGTTGCAAATTAATATATATAAGGTACAAACAAATGCAACTAGGAGGGTCCTTTTTTATTATTAATTTTTTAATTAAATAGTATACCCGGGCGGCTATACCAGGATTTTTTATTAAAAAATGTATAGCCGGCGGCTATACTTTTTTTTGACACGTGGCTTTAATCGATAAATGTTTTTCTTTATTTTTTATTTTTAAAAAGGAGTACATCCATACCGCTATACTCCATGTTTTTAATTTTTTAAATGAAATGTGTTGACCCGTGGTGAGTAATGGTTGGGGGGTCCTCTTTTTTATATTAAAAAATAGTATAGCCGCATGGCGATACTCAGTTTTTTTAGAGTTTTTGAAAAAATATAGCCTTCCGGCCATACGATTTTCACAGTGGGCTGCTCTGTGTTTTGTTCATAAAAAATATAGCCGTGCGGCTATACAAGAATTTTTTTCCTAATTTTTTTTTTTAAAAAAAAATAGTATAGCAGGGAAGTGTTACTGGTTGTTTTTATTTAAATTGTCCTTAATAAATAGTATAGACGAGCGGCTGTAGTCTTTTACATATGTGTGCATATATATATATATATGTTGTTACGTATTTTTCAGCAATACATTCGTGTTCTATACACGTGTCACGTTTTCTTTAAAAAGCAAACATACAATACTTGTATTGTACATATACGTATGTATTTCTAATGTTTTATACACATTTTGTACAAAATTTTCAGTAAGACACACAAAATTCACGTATTATACAAATAATTTTCACATATTATTGAATAAGAATAACATATGTTATAAAAATTATATTAAAATATCATATAGTGGAAGATTAATATCTACTTTGGATATGTTGCAAATTAATATCTATAAGGTACAAACTGATGCAACTAGGAGGGTATGCCATGATTTTTAATTAATATCTATAATCTACTTTTAATTAAGTATAGCCGGGTGCTATACCACGATTTTTTTAATATAAAAAACAGTATAATAATATTTTATTTAGTATGTGTAAATACCAACGGTTTGGTTTGGTTAAACTGTGGTTTTCAATATCTAGCATTGAGCCTCTCTCTTAAAACATTCTTGTATCCGCCAATGACTCGCTTGTATGATGGTGGTCTTTTGGGATTTGTAGTGACAATAATTTGATGGTGGGGGAGGTTGATTAGGTGGAGGCTAAGTTGTGGAAACGAACTATTGTTTTTGGATATGTTGAAATTGGTGAAAATTATGAAAATATCAAATTGATTTTTTTCAAAATTATAACTAAACTTTGAATCCATTTTACTTTTACCGCTAAATGCAAATTAGTTTTTTTGAAAATGAAAACAAATAATTATCCAAAAACAGGGCACAAATTTTTTTGAGTGCCAATATGGCCTAACATAAGGACATATTTTTGCAACTCTCTCTTCCACTTTAAAAAAAAATTAAATAAAAAAAATCCAAATAGTAACACCGATTAAGAAGAAAAAGAAGGAAAGAAAAAAAATAAAAAGAAGAGAGAATTTTATTAACAAAAAAAAGTCGTGCAGCTATAATAATAAAAGTAGTACAGCCAACACATGGCGAAATGGACGCTAGCCGCCAGGCGGGTCCACTCTTTTTTATGTTTTATAAATAGTATAACCGAGCGGCTATACGAGGATATTTTTATAATAAAATAATAACCGACCGACTATACTACAGTTTGTATTATTTAAAAATCGTATTACTGCGCGGCTAAACGATTTTTGACACGTGGAGAAAGGGCGCTACTAGCCAGGCGGGTCCTTTTTTTAATAAATTATAAATATTATAGCCGCATGGCTATACTAGTTTTGAAACGTGGCGACATGGGAGCCAGGCGGGTCCTTTTATTTTAATAAATAGTAAAGCCGGACGGCTATACGCGGGTTTTTCAATAATAAAAATAGTGTGGTCCCAAATTCAGCTGGGTTAAAACAATAAGATAATATAAACCCTTTTTTTTCCCTCTCTCACACAATATAAAATACAAAGCCAAAAGCTAGGAACAAACCCTAAATCCTTAACCAATAAGATAATCATTTACATCCTAAATTAGAAAAAGGAAAGTTTTTGTGGAATTCATGATAACACGGACTTGAGCTTTCTCGAGGAAACCAGTTGGAGGGAGGTTTGAGCGCCCTTTTACTCAGAGATGCTGACGATGATGATACGGACTACAACTGCTGCCACTTCTTCTTCTTCTTATTGCTGGAGCAGCAGAGGTATGAATTGTCTTCACTCTAACTCCACTTTTCTCGTTTTCGTCACCAATTACTTTGCTTTCTTTCATTCTCAACCTTCGAAACCGATCAAATCTACAAGAACCCAACTAGAGCAGCCAAAAAGAGACTTACCCAAAATCACAAATGTTGAGGATGCTTTCAATGTGTTCGATAGAATGCTTCAAATGCGCCCTCTGCCTTCTGTTGTCCGTTTCAATGAAATCTTGGGTCAAGTTGCAAAATTGAAACATTACTCGGCCGTCATCTCATTGTGTAACCAAATGGGTGTGTCGAGAATTGGACATGATGTTTATACCCTAACGATTCTCATAAATTGTTAGTCATCTAAACCAAATGCGGTTTAGTTTATCTGTATTGGGAAAATTCTTCAAACTTGGTCTTGAACCAGATGTCTGTACCTTCACCACTCTAATCAACGGCTTTCTTCTTGAGAATAGAGTGGCGGAGGCGGCTGGAATTTTCAACAAAATGATGAGGGGAGGTAATTGTCAGCCTAATGTGGTTACTTTTGGCACAATAATAAAGGGCTTTTGCATGACAGGTAACAATAGGCCTGCTGTTCAATTGCTTACGAAGATGGAGGAAGGAGCTTGCAAGCCTAACCTAGTTGTCTATAACACAATCATCGACAGTCTTTGTAAGGATAAACTAGTTGATGATGCATTAAACCTCTTCTCAGAAATGATGTGCAAGGGTATTGCTCCAGATGTCATTACCTATACATCCTTGATTCATGGAGTTTGCAAACTAGGTGAGTGGAAAGAAGCTACAAGGTTGTTGAATGAAATGGTGAGTAAAAACATCTTTCCAAATGTGTGCACGTTCAATATCTTGGTAGACACACTTTGTAAGGAGAGGATGGTCTTGGAAGCAGAAGGTGTGGTAGAAATGATGATTCAAAGAGGTATTGAGCCTGATACGGTTACGTACAATTCTCTTATGGATGGTTACTGTTTGCGAGGAGAAATGAGCAAGGCTAGAAAAGTTTGTAAACTAATGCTTAGCAAGGGAATCGATGGTTGATGTTGTTAGTTACAACACATTGATAAATGGATATTGTAAGCATAAGATGATGGATGAGGCCATGAGGCTACTTCGAGAAATGACTTGTAAGGGACTGGTTCCAAATGTCGTTACTTATAGCACTCTTGTCGACGGTTGTTGCAAAGAGGGGAAATTAGGTGATGCACAACAGTTGTTCTCAGAGATGCAAGCTTGTGGTCAACTTCCAGATGTTCAAACTTATGCTATTCTACTGGATGGCCTGTGTAAAAACCGACAACTTTCTACAGCAATCCAACTGTTTAAAGAGATGGAAGGCAAGAAGTTGGATGCAGATATTGTGATTTACACTATTCTTATTGAAGGTTTGTGCATAGCTGAAAAAATTGAATCTGCAAGGGAACTCTTTTGTGGTTTATCATCAAGAGGGCTTCAACCAAATGTAAGGACATATAACATAATGATTAATGGACTCTGTATTGGGGGCCGAACAAGTGAAGCAGAAAAGCTGCTTATCGAAATGGAAGAGAAAGGTTGTTCTCCAGATGGTTGGACCTACAACGTAATTATTCGAGGGTTTATCAATAACAATGAGACAGTAAGGACGATGGAACTTATTCAACAAATGGTGGAGAAGGGTTTCTCTGCAGATGCTTCAACTACAAAATTGATAATTGATCTATTGTGTAAAGATAAAGTAGATCCTGCATTGTTGCCATTGATGCAAAAAGAGAATTATGAACTGAATTTGCCTCAGTTAAAGTTGAACAGATCTTCTGACCATCCCAATAAACATTGAAGCTCTTCCACCTCTGGCAACCATGGATGTGTTATATCTGTTATCTCTTAATCCATCATGTGACAATGTTGAGTAGTAGATATAACTTTACTGATAATCGTAACATCTTTGAAACAATTGGCTTGTGTTTTTGTACGCAGGTCTTTTTAAGTTTCTTTCACACAAACATTGTGCAATTGACTGACTCTGCATGTTTTTGTTATTTTGCGGTATACAGACTTGGTTATATAAAGACATCACTGGGGTATATCCTGTGATCATGGTAGAGAAATTTCAATGTTGCTCTTTTAAGGTTGTTAAATTTATTAGAGAGAAGCAGGGTATTTGGACTGATATAATCAGATTTTTCAGCTGACCAAGACTCTGCAGTTTCGGCAAAAACCAACCAGCCTTTGATTAAGGGGCCTTCTACAACCTCTTTCAATTTAAACAGGGCTTCTTGGAACCAACAGCATGAGCAGAACTCATTTGATAACACTCAGCCAAATGTTGTGGTCTCATTTTGAATTGATTAATCATCTTTGCACCGAAACGAGAAGTTCGAGTTTTATTCGTTAAACCTTTAGATTATCTAAACTTTTATCTTAATTGTACTATATATGTAATTTGAAAAGATTTTAGATGACCTATCAGTTGTTAAGGATTAATGTCAAGGGAAACTACATTTTGTTTATAATGGAAAGTTCTCACACAAGGATATTCTGCAAGGGTAGCAAATAGAAGCAAACAATACAAATATTGAGAAAATCTAAATGAAGGCTAAATGAGAAAAACATTAAACCAAAATAATTGTGAAATCTAATTTATGAGAAACAATATTTGATTCCATATCCGTCGAACTAAAACAGACGAGGGCAAAAACCGAGCAAAATCACTTATACAGCACACATCAAACAACTTTGAGTTTTGGTCTTGGGGGTTTTCAGTCTATACAGGAGGCTACGTCTTTCGAAACTCTCAGCATTTAAAACTTCGGCTTCCTCAGCTTCTCCAAACTTGAATAGATTAATCCTAACAGAGAATACAATACTGCCTTTATGCAATCCATTATGAAATTCCAACAAGAAGAGGGCCAGTACCATGGATACAACAGTCGGAAGAACAGGCTTATAAGATGCCGCGGATATCTCCCAACCTGCATCACAAATAAAAGTTATGTTCCCACACTTGCTAAACAAAATGCGTAACCCTATAATCCATCTGAAGCCACGATAACGAAGGATTCTCTAAAAGCATCATGTAAGGTCCTATACTTTTATTCTATCTCTAGGTTTAGAACTTACAGTCATAAAATTATCTCATGATTTTACCGAAAAGGTTTAGATCTATTATCATGGATCTTTCAGGTCATCAATAAAGGTCTCCACTTTGCTCACATTCAACAACAGATGGGAGGATTTGCGATAACATAGTAGGTTTAGATACTTAAAAAGGAAAACAGCACGTATATAGTGTGTTAGAACTTAGCATAAGCTTATCAAGGATGAAAGATGTATGCAAAGAACTGAAGATTACTAGTATAACCTATATCTCTTGGTAAAGCAAAATACTTGAGCTTACTGCCAAAGCAGACAAACAAAATGCAGCAAGATATCCAGTTTTAACAGAAAACTGTGATAGAGAAAAATATACTCACGGGAAAAAGCAAATCTAATGCATCCCAGGCAGCATGACGAACAGCTCTTGTGGGGTACATTGGACCACCAGGAGAAGTGAAACTATACAAACAAGCCTTTAATCTTGTACTTGTGGCCATTCTCAGATCCATTCCTGTTAAATTAATAATACATTAACTAGAATATATAGCGACCATAATACCAGGTTCACATGATGCCTTAAATCTTAAACCTAGAAATTGGTTAGAATATTACCCTGGAGAAGTTTTATGTGCGACAGATAGTGCAGCAATACTGGCTCCACCTTCAGTTTTTGAAGCTGACCAGTAAAGTAAATATAAACCTCATTCAATGCAGTGTGAGAACAAAAACTCAACAAAAGTACTTACAGCACAGAGTGTTTCAAAATTTACCTGATCTGCAAGTTCAATAACAAAGAAGTCTTCTGCACCACCAACCAGAAAAGCATTTGGAAAAAGAGGAAATTGCCTTAAGAAGCTCCCGAGTTTGTCAACTGCATGAATCAACACATTACTGGAGAATTTACAATTTCTTGATTCAGGGGCTGAAGATGCATTACCAGAAAACCCACCTGAGTTATAAAAAAATATAAACCTCGAAAGTAAAAGAAATAGATCTCGCTGGACCTGAGAATTAATGAAGAATTCTAAAGTTAATTTTAAATTCCAATGCAAATTATTTTGGCTCCTCAATCAATCTCATGGCTAGAATGACAGTTATCCACATCAAGTAAAAAGTTCCTTGTAAAAGTTTAAAAAAAGCATGAACTCCTGACCTGTACAGGGATTTTATTCAACCGTTTGGGCTCCAAAGCAACATCTTCAAGAAGATACTGAAATACAATGTGGGGTAAAACAACACAAAAATGTAATGAATATTTCGTAAAGTTCTTCAACAAAAACATATAAATGTCATCTTTATGAGGGCTCATACACGAAAGAGGGATTGAAATCGCCTTGTATTTGATTGAGTATCAATCCTGAAAATATGCAGAGAGTACCATTAAAAAGTTTGTTAAGCCAAATGGAGAATAATTTATATATTTTGTGCTAGCACAAATTAAACCTAGTAACTTTTTTTTCGGTTACAATCAAATCTAGTAACTTTGAAAAGGAAGAAAAAGAACAAATTTGATTATCCAAATATGCTATTTGTTATTATATATATGGATAGGAGCAGCCAGAAGACGAATGCTTAATGTTGGACAACAATGGGAACTAAGCAAATAGAACGTTAAAAAGGTCCCAAAAAATCTTTTTGATGCTGGTTTTTTTTCCCCCAAAAGGAAAAACAAAAAGGTTACATAGAGAATGTGCCGAGGCTGCTTGGAGGACAATTGATGAGAAAGAGAGAGAGTCCTCTCAAAAGGCCTCGCTCACAAAACACTGAATTAATATCTGCCTCCTAACTAAGCCATATATGAAATCCAAAGCAATTCATAAGGCTACTCAAAGAGGCAGTAATTAAACATAAAATCACAAAACAAATATCATCCACAGAGACCAGAGACCAACACATGTTCAAACCCAATTTGTATCTTTTTGCTTCTGCCATGTAATTCCAATCAACCATTAACAACCAATGAGCATAAACTAGTATCCATACCAGAAAACATTTGTTGCACCTTCAATAAGAGCAGATGAGTAACGAAGAAGAACTTCAGAGTTGTCAAGTTGAACTTCAAACAGCTGCCCAAAAAAATAGAAGACTTACTCTTCGGCATCGCAGGGACTTAATTCAGGAAAAAGAGTAAAGAAGGAACAGTCAACTTCAAGCTCTCAATGATTTGAAATTCAGATTTTGTTGTTGTTCTAACTATAACAAATAACTAGGCTCCACATTTCTACATGCAAAGCAATTCACCATCTGTAAACTCTCCCAAATGATATATGAATACTACCTAGGAAAGTATGCAAACCCGAATTTCATTCGTTGAATGTCTGAAAACCAACTGTCATTCATTTTGAAAAGCAATTTGTATATTAAGGTTGTCGACAAATTTCCAGATCATGTTCAATGGGTTTGACAAATTGTCAAAGCCGTTCTGCTGTATCCACCTGATTTATAGGTGAAAGTTCCAACAGGTAAGATCCCCCATAAATGAACAGATGACAATATAACTTATTACTTTGAAAGTCAGGCTGACCATATATATACTCCAGGAAAATAGTAGTCTAGTGCCTAGGCTGAGGCAAAAGGCACTTTTTGCAAGATCATAGCTGACCATAAATAAACAGGCTTCAAATACTAGATTTTTTCTAATTTTTTCAAGAGATAAAAAAGACCAGACATTTGGACAATATGATTTTTTTCCAAAACAAATCACCAAGTAGACGCAATTATGCTCCCAGAAGGGCAACTTGAAAAATAGAATGGAAAAGATCAATACACTGGATGCATGTTTACATACCCATTTGTGGAATAACAAAGCAAAAATATGAGATGCAAATGACTGGCTCCATAGTTGGACAATCAAATCAAGGATGCGTTTTCCACTCGCAGGCACCTGAACATAATGGTCAGTGAGCACATCATAAAAGCATAGCTGACCATCCATGCTATCCTCTGCAGGAGAAATTGCATCTTCTTCCCTGCTGAGAATCATATCTGACACACAATTTGAATACCAAAAATGAGAACACCACTCGTAAAGTGAATTGGGGAAAGTAGTGAACAGATTTCCACAACATACAAATCACACTGCAGTAAAGCGATGAATGGTCAATATGCCTGTGGGCCACCTTTAGTCCCACCCATCACATATGGGGTAGTAATAGTAGTGCACACTAATTTGGCACATATTTCCGAGGTATGGAAGTAAAGTAACCATGTTCTTCTAGCATTCTTATCATTTTTAAGCTGACAAATAAATGATTCTCAGCCAATACCAAGTATTATCACTGGCAGTTGCATTATGACCCTTAAACACCATTAATATGTTACTAAAATAAATGCCATCTTAATCATATACTCGAATTGTTCAACCATACTCTAAAATACAATCCAATTATAGCAGTATCACAATAAGAGCAAACAATTTTGGATGTCAACATACAAAGTTTTACTCAACATGAAAATAGACTTCCCAACTTTCCATCAAACACAGGTGACCGCTAATTCAGAAAACGGACAAGTCTATGGACAATTTCGACTTACCTTTGGCTCGCTCATCGATCTCTAAAGCTATGTCAGCAAACAACTCCTGCAACAAGTTGCGCCGCTGTGTCGGAGAAGCTAGCGCCTACAACAACACATTAAACGCGCATAAATCTGACGGCAATGAAATTATAAACTCCAGCATCCAAATTAAGCGCTCTCTACAAGCAAACCAGCTATCTACACAATGCCAAATCAAGCATTTCCATCATTACAATAGAAAC